TGACATGAAAAAATAAGTCTGTTGTATGGAATGTATAGGGGAAGGGAATGGATTGAGAAGTAGATGATGCAATGGTCATAATCATATATATAAGACCTGCATCATCAAGATGTGCCGCCTAGTCCTAACTTTAAGCTGTAACTATAGAGTTTCCCAGTCAATGACTGACAGCCCAAACAACGTCCTTGCTGTTGTTAAGAAAAGTAACTCGACCATGTTCAAAACCCGAAAGGAATTTATGGAAATCAAATTAACATCACAAATGATCATGCCAAAGGATGATGAACCCTGTCAAGACGAACTAATGTTTCTAACTGTCATTATCAATTCTTTTAAACAAATACAAATATCGTCCTAATGAACATTTAGACCAGGTAATCTTAACCACATAATCTACCTGCAAAGTATGTAGTTGATCAGAATTTTTTATGCTTAAGACTCCTTTGCAACGATATACATCCATGCCACCTTTTTTATCCCAAAGTATCTCCTCGAGCCAAGAGCGAACCTGTTGGAAGATAAGGCAGGGATGAGAACAGCACATACAAACCCATACGTCTCGAAAGACTTTATGTTCCTTTCTTTTTTGAGTTGTACCTACTTCAATTCTCATGTTCATAGTAGAGATGGGTGATCGATAAAATCACCTTTAAAGTTAAATACTTAGTTAAATTGATCCAAGTTCACAATTTTATTACTTCAATGGATTTTCAGGTTAAACAGAAATATATAACTAAACAGTAAAAGATCGATCTTGACAAGATTTAATGTTACTCTTGATAGACCACATTTTCACCCTTCCTCTTAGTTGTAGACACACTCCAGATTATGGAAATTTTAAATACATAAGAAACTTAAACTACAATAATCCTACAAATCCATGATGAGAATGTTACAAGAATTCAGCACGAGTAACAACATAAATGATGCACCAAACCAACATCGCAGAACTCCAAGATGCAGAAGTCGCAATGGAACCACACAGTTTTTAATGGAAACACACAATTTGTCTCTAGAAATTAGTTGGTCCTTGAGTCTGCTAGTTTTTAATAAAGGTCAAATAGCTACCAGAGTTTCAGAATGCTACCTTATCCAGGTCGACTTTGTCATGATAACTAATGCATAAGGTTCGAACGCCGGTATCATGAAGATCCTTAGTCGATAGGGAACGGCTTTCTTTCAACAGTTCTTCTAAATGAGCTGTATTCTAAACGGTAAAAAACCTAAATAGTATCAGATCAGGACTGGTCCAGAAATAGAAAATGAACTGGGTGATAAAAATAAGTTCATGACTTACAGCAGCATTATAGGCATTGCAATTTAGTATCAGAGACAGGTCAACTTGACACCGAATGGAGTGAATGATTTTGGCAAGGGAATTAATGTTACGTATTTCGAACTCCAGGTCCTCCAATGCACCGTCACCACGTTCTGAAGTGACCAGGTCGACCTTGTTAAGAATAATAGTATCCTATGACGGAGAACAAATTCACAACCTTCTTAAGTACACATTGAACAATTATTGAGAAATCATATAGCAAAGAGAAGGAATCAACACAAAAGAGAATACAAAGTAATAGTGGAACAAAAAATGATAAATAATGGCGATCCCAGCAGCTTTGCATAAGATACAATGCTAGACGTGGTTAATAGTACCGAGTACAAAATTGCAAAGACCATAAATGAACTAAGAATATTACCGCAAACGCAATTTGATAAAATGCTTCGGGAAAGGATGATGAACTTCGGTGCTCATTTAACTGAAAATGAAGGTTTCTCGCATCCACAACCTACTACCAAGAATTCATCCAAAGGAAAAAAAAAAGAGTTACAATGGGTGGAACTTTTATATTATAAGAAAAAGAATATCAAACTACTTTGAAGCATTCAAGCATTTCCTACATCATGCATCCACACATGGACAGAGAAGAAGAAAGAGAATTAGACACCTACATAAAGACGAAATGCATACACTTGGCCTTAGTACGAGGGGAAAACTTAAGCTTCAATGACTATCTTAATCTCAGTTAATCATCAAATATGACGCATCATAGAACTTACACTCGAGAACTAAAGCATGAAATTCATAAACATTCGCAAACTATAATACTTAATTAACAGTAAAATTGGCGAAGCTAATTCAAGCAGTGAAGAAATTAGAACTAAGAACTGACTGTAATAATTGAATCAAGCTTGACCGATGATTCCAACTGATCGTCCAGCCAAAGTACCGAAGCAAGTGGAGCAGGATTGGCTAGCCCCGTAGTTTCCAACAAAATATGATCGAGCCTAGATACAAGCGAGAATGACTGAATCATCAACGTATTTTTCACAAAAGCTCCATAGAAATCCGATGTAATAATAATAATAGAATACCTTTCTTTTCTCTGCACGAGTTGCTCCAAGGCTTGAACCAGGCTATGCTTGACAGTGCAACAAATACATCCGTTTGCTAATTCGACCCATTCCTCAACCAACGCCCCACCATCACCTTCATTTATCATCGCTCTCTCCACTCCAATCTCCTCGCCAAACTCATTCAGTATAACAGCGATTCTCTTGCCGTGTTGCGAGTTCAATATGTAATTAACCAACTAAATACAACCAAACAAGAAACAAAAACATCATTCCATAGCTCAAATTCGATGAGTGCAAAGAAAATTCAAGCGATAAGTAAGTGGAAAATATTCATATGCTAATTTACGGTGGATTTTCCGGCTCCAAGATATCCGGTGATAACAGTAACGCCGACAGAAACACCATCATCTTCATGCCGCTCGGCAGCCGTAATCGTTTCGCCGATCTCAACCGCAAGTGGTGGATCTTCTTCGTCTTCCATTTCTCAACTAGCAGCTGCGAATTTGGTTTGGAAATTTCAATTAATTGAGATTTAAGAGAGAACTTTACTTAATCGTCGGCCCAGTTTAGTTACAGAACGGCGGGAACCTTTGGGCTATCAATTTAGGTCCACCCCTAAATTATGAACACAAATAAATTACGCTCGTGTTAATTATAATTAATTAATAGTAATTTATGAAATTCCTAATATTTGGATTATTTGATGAAATTAATTTATTTAGATGTTAATAATTTTATTTAATATTGGCGGACCAAATAATGATTCTAACCATTATTTTAATTTATAACATTTAATATTATTAAATTTAAAAAATTTTGAAATTAAAGTAGGCATTATTTTGACCTAAATTATAAAACAAATTCGATCGTTCTCGACATAATTGTGGGATGAAAGTCCCACATCGACTAATTTAGAAAATGATCATGGGTTTATAATCGATGAATACTATCTCCAGAAAAATTAGGCATTTTGGGAGAGCCTAAAACAAAGTCACGAGAGTTTATGCTCAAAGTGGACAATATCATACCATTATGGAGAGTTGTGTTCAACTAACAGTAATTTTTAAAATGGTATGTATTTGACTGGTACTTGCTCAATAGGTTGGACTAAAAGTAGTTGAACTTGACCTCTCATAATTTTTCGAGCTAGAGGTACACTTGAAGAGCGGTCAGGAAGAAATTGAGTCACTTAGGTCTCAATCTCTTCGACCTTGTCCAAGGTGACCAAGTTAGCTTTTGTACCATAATTTTGCTTGCTAATGACCCAATTGAATTTTGGGTATGGTCGGTTGGACTCGAGTCCTAATCGATCTTAACCTGTTCGAATTTGAGTTTACTTTCATATCAAGCCTTTTCCTCGTTTAATTGACCTCAAAGAAGAGTTGAGTAAGAGGAAGAACGTAAGAGTGTTGGAAAAGAATTGATACGAAAGTGTACAAATCGTTACTTCTACTCTTCTTCACATTCCGTTTAGGGTATGAATTTTTATTTTATTTTTGTAATATGAAAAAGATATTCCAAATTATGATCTCTTTAATTATATAAAACTAAACTATATATTTATTTAAAAATAAAATTAATTAATAAAGAAATATACAACTTGATATATTAAAAACTTAAGTTCATTAATTTTTTGAAAAATGTCCGATCTATCAAAGATTTATTATATATATTTATTTATTTATTTATTTGAAGTTTATAAACTAAATACTATAAATTTGTTATTAATTTAAAATTTAAAAAATAAATGGTTGGCACGTGAGTCTAAAATAAAGCGTGTCATCCACCCTTAGCTGTTGCGTGTAGAACACTCTCGAAATGTCATATATGATTTGTGATTTGAATTTATTATTGTTTTTTCTTTTTTTATTATTATTATTTTAGTGGGCGTTTGTGAAGGAGAGGAACAAATGATAATCTCACGCGCAATACATGCGAGTGCCAACGTGGCAGAAGATGACAGGGATACCCAGAAATTTCTCCCTTCCAGATGGAGTGGAGTCATTGCCCACCTGGACTTTTGTCCATGACGTGTACAAATTAGATGACGTAATATTCTCAAACATTAATTTTTTTTGTTCAAGAATTGAAGTATTGGTTTCTTTAATAATATTTTGAATTTTTTTTATTTAATTATGTAAATCTTTCTGAAATTTTAAGCGTTCTAAAATTATAAATTTAACATTTAATATTTTAATTTTTTTCAAAATGTATAGACCTGCAAATTTAATATTTTTTTATTATTTTGTTTAATTTCTATTATATTATTTTTTAATTTCTTTTATAACCGTCACACTATAGCCATTAAAATATTTTATATACAACATCTTTAAATTTATTTAATTTGATAATTTATCTTTATATTTTTTTTTTTCTTTTTTCTTATTTACTTTTATGATCATGTTGAACTATATTTTGAATTATATTAATATATTACAATTTTCGTCTTTTTATTTTTATTTTAGATAAATAATATCTGTAGATAAATAAAACTTAAAAAATATAGAGTTGAGTTGAACTGGATTGAGTTGGGTTGGGTTGTGAAAATTTTAGACTAGTTTGAATAATCTAACTAAAAAAATAATAATAATAAAATAACTAAAAAGAAAGAGAAAAATAAGGGAAAAAAGTATAAAATGAATGGAAGGCGTGTGAACTGACGGACTTCTCCTGAGTTGGATTTCCACATAAAGCCAGTAGTGCTCCCGATTTTAAAAAGGCGGCCGATTCTTTTCTTTTTGACGCCCTTTCACCACCGTCGCCACCGTCACTACCGACTTCTTCGCGCCCTTCCATTTCACATTCTCTCTCCACTTCTTCAAATTCTCTCCACTTTCTCTCTCTTTCTCTGCTTTTTTCTTTCACTTATCCAAGGCATACACCAAATCTCGACTATTCGAATTCCTAAATTCTTGCCGCGATGGTTGCCGGAGGAAGAGGCGCCGCCGTTGGCGTCGGTTTGGCGGTGGTAATGGTGGTGTTAGGGTTTCAGATTTGTTCTGCGCAGATTACCAGAAGCGGTTTTCCGAGCGGATTTGTTTTCGGAACTGCATCCTCTGCTTTTCAGGTTACTTTATTTATTTATTTACTTATCGTAAATAATATGCTATTATAAATTTGAAATTATAATATATATATATGTATGTATGTATGTATGTATGTATGTGAACACAGTTCGAAGGAGCCGTGAAGGAGGACGGAAGGGGACCCACAGTTTGGGACAAATTTTCCCATTCATTTGGTAATTATTTTTTATTCATTTTATAGAAAATATTTGGAAAATTAAATAAAAATAAATCTTAATATTTAAGTTTTTTTTTGTAAAATTTAGTATAATATTTTAAAAGTTTAAATTTTTATAATTATATTATTTGTTATTTAATTAAATGTATATAATCATTATTTATGAAATGGTGCAGGAAAGGTAGTTGATTTTAGCAATGCAGATGTGGCAGTGGACCAGTACCACCGTTATCCGGTAACCGTATTTTTTTAATAATTTAAATTATTAAATGTTAATTAGAGAATTGAGAAAATAAATAAATAAAATAATGGAAACAGGAAGATATTAAACTGATGAAGGATATGGGTATGGATGCCTACCGATTCTCCATTGCCTGGTCTCGAATCTTCCCAAGTAATTCTCTCTCTCTCTCTCTCCTTTTTATTTTATAATTAGTTTATAAGAAAAAACTAAATTACATTTTAGTTTTTTTTAGTTTGTTGGAAGATGAAACTAACTTATATAGGAATTATCATTTGTTTATAATTAAATAATAATATTTTCATGGGCATAATGCTTTCTGGTAGTAGAAACATGAGAACTTATATAATACTCTCTCGATCGGTATGAGCCTTTTGGAGAAGCCCAAAGCAAAGCTATGAAAATTTATACTTGAAGTGGACAATATCATAGCATTGTGGAGAGTCGTGTTCATCTAACATGGTATCACATGCCCAAAATGTAATCGTGTCAATAGATCGATAAATTCTCAAATGTCGAACAAAGGACTCCAAAAGAAAAGGAGTCGAGCCTCGATTAAGGGGAGACGTACTTTGTTCAAGGGAGGGTGTTGGATGATGAAAGTCTCACATCGGCTAATTTAGGGAATGGTCATGAGTTTATAATCAAAGAATACTCTCTCTTTTAATATAAGATCGAACTTCGATTAAGGGGAGGCGTACTTTGTTAGAGGGGAAATGTTGGATAATGAAAATACCACCTCAGATAATTTAGTTGAGTATAATCAAAGAATACTGGAATTTTAAAGAAATAGTTTGAGGAATTATGAATTCATTATGGAAACAAAGAAATAAGGTGTGATGTGAATTTGGTTGTGAAGATGGAAGTGGAGAGATCAACGAAGCTGGAGTTGATCATTACAACAATTTCATCAATGCTTTGTTAGCCAACGGTATGAATGTTCTTCATCTTCTTCTTCAACACCCATTTCCCCATACTTTCAATCTCATTCAAATTCAATGGTTTTTTAATCCTCCAACACTTTCTTCAACCAGGAATCGAACCCTATGTCACTCTCTACCATTGGGACCTTCCTCAAGCTCTAGAAGACAAGTACAATGGCTGGCTCAGCCCCCAGATCATGTAAATCCCTAAACCCTAATCTTCATCCCCATCCCGATCATTTTCTGTATCCATTTCAATTCGTAACTTGGAAATTGCAGAAATGATTTCGCGATTTTCGCCGAGACGTGCTTCCAGAGGTTCGGCGATCGAGTGAAGCATTGGATCACCTTCAACGAACCGCATACATTCGCTACTCAGGGCTATGATGTCGGTCTCCAGGCGCCGGGGCGCTGCTCCATTCTTCTCCATTTTGTGTGTCGGAGTGGAAACTCTGCTACTGAGCCTTACATTGTTGCGCACAATGTTCTCCTCTCTCACGCCACCGTCTCTGATATTTACAGAAGAAAGTACAAGGTAAGAACCCTAACGAGATTGTTTGAGATTGTGGAACATTTTCATCAAAATGGTGTGAAATTTTGGGGGTTTTTTTGCAGAGGAGACAGAGGGGAGTGATTGGGATCTCGCTTGATGTTATCTGGTTCGAACCAGGTTCGAATTCCACCGAGGACATTGCAGCTGCTCAACGAGCTCAAGATTTTCAGCTTGGATGGTGATCATTCATACCAAATTCTTATCAGTTTCCCCCAATTTCTGTTATATTGGGATTTAAGTTCATTCACTTTCAGGTTTCTCAACCCGTTGATCTTTGGTGATTATCCGACCTCCATGAGAAGCAGAGCTGGAGGGCGGCTTCCGAGGTTTTCACAGCCGCAGGCGGCTTTGGTGAAAGGGTCTCTGGATTTTGTTGGTATAAATCATTACACCACATTTTACGCTTATCATAACCACACCAACATTATTGGGGTTGTCCTGAATGACACCATTGCTGATTCTGGTGCCTTCACCGTTCGTAAGAACTCTCATTCTAAACATCAACTCATTTGAATAACTTACTCATATCAGAATCAGAATTTGAAGTTTACCCTTTTTAATACTCTCCCCTGGTTCTGTGTTCTTGTTTATGCAGCATTCAAGGGCCTGAAAACCATTGCAGAAAGGGTACGGTTCTGTTCTTATCTTTAGCAAAAACCAAAAGACAAGAACATAGATTCTAATCGATTTCAAATATTTTCTTTGAACTTGCAGGCAAGTTCTATATGGTTATACATAGTTCCTCGTGGGATGCGAAGTTTAATGAATTACATCAAGAACAACTATGGAAACCCACTAGTGATCATCACAGAAAATGGTAACACTCGGCTTTAAGCTCAAATTTTTTTGACAAAAAGTAAAGATCTGACTCGCTGCTAATGGGTGTTACAACAGGGATGGACGATCCAAATAACCCATTTAAACCAATTAAAGAAGCGTTGAAGGATGAAAAGAGGATCAGATACCACGATGGCTACTTAACGAGCCTTCTGGCTGCCATTAAGTGAGTTCTTCTTCTTCAGTGTCAATGGTGATTTTGCTTGTCTATAGTCAGTTTCTTTCTGTCATGCAATCTTGTGGTTATGTGCACTGCAGGGAAGATGGCTGCAATGTGAAAGGGTATTTTGTTTGGTCTCTATTGGATAATTGGGAGTGGGCAGCTGGTTTCACTTCAAGGTTTGGCTTGTACTATGTTGACTATAGGGATAAGCTGAAGAGATACCCCAAAGACTCGGTTCAATGGTTCAAGAATTTCTTGGCTTCTTAGAAGTCCGAGTATCTAAAAGAAGGTTAACGATACGCTTTTGTTTTTGTTGCTGTTGTTGGGTCCATGTTCATCAAGAACTTTTTCGAGTTAATCTACGTAGTATGATATCTAGTTGTTATTATTATTATTTTAGTACAACAAATGTGGAGCACGAGAAATAAGGAATGTATATCAATTATGGTTGAACTATGTTGATTACAGGGATAAGCGGAAGGAGATACTCCAAGGACTCGGTTCAATGGTTCAAGAATTTCTTGGCTTCTTAGAAGTCCGAGTATCTGAAAGAAGGTTAATGTTACAGTTTGATGCTTTTGTTTTTGTTGTCGTTGGGTCTATGATCGTCGATAAGTTATTCAAGTAGCCTACGTAGTCTGATATTTTACTCGAGTCTATGCCTTATCTAGTTATTATTATTATTCAAGTACAACAAATGTGGAACACAAGAAAGAAGGAATGTATATCAATTATGGTTTAACTATGTTTATGTTGACATATTTTAATTACTAGACGACGTTTGTACTATCGGACATGCATGTGAGAATGTATATCACTATACCTACCTCAACGACACAGTTCCGTTATCATATTATCGACTCTATAAACTTTTCTTTTGTATTTAATAAATTTGTGAATTAAAAAAATATCAAAATTGAAAGACTAAAAGGTTTTTTAAAAATTATTTATTTATTTTTAATTATAACCAATTTGAAAAATTCTAATTTTATGTGGCAATTGTTCTATGATAATGGACTTAGCCCAAGTCTAAAAAGCCCAAAAAGAGGCCCATGTTCATTAAATTAATTTGATTTTAGAGAGAATATTGGTTTTGTCTTTTGACTTATTAATATTAATTTAATTAAATTTATAATTTATTAATTTTATTTTATTTTATTTAGGGGTTTAAAAAGTCATGATAATAAGCGATGGGGGAGATATTTTGTCTGTGGGCAATGGGCATTGGTCTGTTGCTTTCCCTCCACTTACCAAAAGTTGAAAATCTCCAAAATCTCTTGAATTGACAATGTGGGCCCGTCCTTATAATACAACACGTGTCCTTGAGTGGCTTTAGGTAGGCCCCACCAAATTTTAATATAAATGTCAACTAGAGTTAGGGTTAGAGTAGGGCACGGTCCGCCATGGTTTAGGTTCATATCTATCTCTAGTTCATTCATTACGCTCGTAACTATTTGTAACAGCTTAACTTCACTACTAGCAAATATTGTCTTTTTTGGAATGTTTTAAAATGTGTATGATCAGTAGAGGGATTTCACACCTAGTAAGGAATGTTTCGTTCTCTCTCTAATTGATATGTGATCTCACACTATTACACTAAAATAAAATTAATTTTCACTCTCGAGATCTCATTACCCTAGAAGGAAAAAAAAAAAAATCAAGGACAAGGTTACAGTTATTCGGTAGAAATTTTTGCAACGATAGGGTTCTGGGTGAGATTTTTCTCGATTATCATAGGTAAAACTTGCTAAAAATTCTATTTTTGTGAGATTCTAAAACATTTAGAGGCGGTTTGTTTGGGTAAAAATGGAAAAAGGAAAGTAGGTCATACGTCGTGGTAGGTTTTTAGGTAAGAGGACAAGCGAATAAGGAACAACTCGACATTGTAATTAATGAGAGACGTTGTTTGAAGCTATAGCAAAATATGAAATATATAGAAAGAGAGCTTTTTGAACCGAACCTTATTCGGTTTTTTAAAATAATTTTAATTTTTTTAAAATGACTTAAAAATTACACGACCTATAACAATACAAGGGTATGTAGAATTAAAATTATTATGAATATATTTATTTATTTATTTAAAATTTAATTTAATTTTAATTATATTTATATATTTTGAATTAGAATTATATATATATATATATATATATATATATATATATATATATATATGAAGGAAGGAAATGGTTGGTTGGGTTGGTAGTGTAAAAAGCAAATGTTTGGGGGTGTGGGGGTGAAAATGACATTTTTGCTTTAGAATCAAGTTAGCTTATTAATTAAAAAGAGGGGCTAAAAAGCAATAATAATAATAATAAATAAATAAATAAATAAAATAAATCTTATTTAATTATGTCGGGATAATTTTTAATACGACAAAAATGATTTTAAAAATTTTAAAATCACTCTTAAATATGTATTTAAATTATTAAAAAATCAATTTTAACTCGAAATTAGTTAGATTTTATTTAAATAAATTCATCAATTTTAATAAAATAAAATTTTGTAAAAAAATTTAATTTGACCAACTTACAAATTAACCATCAAATAATAATACAAAAATAAGCGCACTTTTAGAATAATAGAAGCTCTAATTCAAGCCACTCTTGAAATTTACATTTTTACCCTTGTCTCTTTGTTTGACGCTAATATCAGGTCACCAAAAATTTCATAGGTCTTTCACGCGTTTCAAGGGTAAATTTGTAATTTAAGAAAAACCCGACCTACAAAAACGTAGAAATGGAGATAATCTTGTAGAATGATGAAGTCGGAAGCTCGAGTTTCTTCCTATGAAGTTCGGGATTACTTCATATGAAGTCGCGTGTCCTATTTTATCCATAGCATAAACATTAAAGTCAATTTTTTTAAAAAAAAAACATCCCTATTTTTAAATTTTTATTTCTTTATTTAAAATATATATTTTAATTGATTCAAATAAAGTTAAATATATTTTTTTAAAAAAATAATATGTTCAAATTTGTGTTTGTCCAAAGAAATTGGTTTAAATAAAAAGTTTTATTGGTGGCCCCAAGATAAATTGATTTTTATTTAATTTTCAACAGTTTTCAATTATTAAATAATAATAATTTGGAACCCCAAAACAACTCCTTAATAAATTTTCAACCACTCGTTGAGAGCTATATAAATCCTATGATCTATCGGAATTAATTAATTATATGTATTTTCTATTATTTTGTGTAAATACTAATGCTGTATATATTAAATTAATTATATTACAAGTAAATTACCAAATTGTCCTTGTAGGACGGGACCGAGACCGAGACCGAGACGTGAACCCTTCTCCATCTTCATTCCCTCCTTTTATTTCAATTTCTAAAATTTAAATTTTAATATTACAACGTTACAATATATATATAGGTGAGATGGGGGAGCGGGGTCGGAGATAGAGAATATAATCCATCTTTATCTCGGACCACATTTAGCTAATGAGGAGATTCCGGGCAAGCTAAGTGTACATCTCTATTTGGTATTGATACTCATACTCTAGTTTACCGAGCAAAAGAAAAAATCGTTTTTTAATACGATTAGTTAATATAATCATCTAAATAGAAAAAAGTCAATAAAATAAAATTTTAAAATTATAGTAAATTTAATATTTTATTCCTACTAATTTAAAAGTTATTCAACATTAATGCATGATAACGACACTAATACAAAGCATCGATGGTAACTCCTTTCATTAAGTCGAGGTGATGTATTAGGTACCGATAATAGGCGTAGTTGGAATAAATGTGGTCGTGTAAGTGCACGGGTCAAAACCCAGCAGGTAAATTATATACAGATGAAATTTAGTTAAGGTGAGTAACAAATGAGTACAATAACTGATGTATTTGTAGCTACGGAGAACGTCGCTTCATATGGTTTATAGGATATGTATAGCCTTTTACTTTTTTTTTCTTTGAGACAACAATGCGTCAAACATCGTGGCATCCAAAAGAGGACGTGCTAGCACTCACACGGATAGTCACAGTCTAACAGGACATCGTGTCACTATCAACTGAGTTTCAATCGATCTTGTGTAGTTGGATTGCACAATTACACATTAGATGATGTTCTCGACATACGAAAAACTAGCTAAACTCTAGAAAACTAAAAAAAATATATGAGCGAGAGTTCAAGATGGCTATTTAATTCGTTAGGCTGAATCGAATGATGACTAGGTTTGATTAGCGTTGAGCAAACTAAAAACATATTTGAGATGCTCGAGATTTGATAATAGATTATTGATTTTAAATTTTATTATTATTATTATTATTATTATTATATCGATTTTAGATATAAAAGGATTGATTTATAAATAATACAAAAAAAAGGGAAACATTGCATTAAGTAAAATTAAATACAATGAGAGAGAAAGAAGAGAGAGAGAGGTTGGAAGTTGCGTGGCGACGTAAATAAATTAATAAAATAAATAAATAAATAAATAATATTGTTTAAAAAAGCGAATTAAAAAAATAAAAGGCAAATTACGTGATGGTGCAGAAAAACATGGTGTTCCTCTTTGTCGGAAAGCGGCATTATTTAACTTTTTTTTGGGTAATTTTTTTATTTTAAAAAATATTTCTTCACTTTTTATTTATTTATTTATTGAATTATAAATTTAATTATTATTAAGTCATGACCCTAATTGGTACGGGAATATCGTTTAACTATAAATTTAAACAGGTGATTTTTGTTCACTTACTATAAATTTTACGTTAGTTTGTAAGCTGAAAATTCATAACCTAATTAGCACGAGAATATCGTTTAATTATCTGTCTAATTGAATAATTTTCATCTACTAAAAATTTTATAATATCCCGTGAACTGAAAATTCATAACCCTAATTGGTACGGGAATATCGTTAAATTTATCCGTGCTCATTTGAATAGTTTTCACCTACTACAAATTCTATACTACTCGTGAACGGAAAATTTATAACCCTAATTGGTACGAAAATATCGTTTAATCTACTCGTGTCTAAAAAATTTCATAATCCTAATTAGTACAGAAATATCGTTTAATTTACTCGTAGTTTTATTTACTATTAGAAGTACATGAACCAATGAAAAGTGGGGTAGAATATGAATTAAAATTTAATTAATTATTTTTTTAAAAAAAAATTATAAAGGGAAGGTTTTTTTTATTTATTTATAATTAATTAATGAAATAATTAAAAAATGGAGGGAGAGTGGGTCCCACGCTCCTTCCATGTCCCCCTTCTAAGCTTCTCTTTCTCTGGATGGAACTGTATATTGAGGGGACATAGCTTTCGAAAACCTTTCAAAAAGTTCACAAAACTACGCGTCCTTTCCATTTCTGTAATCTGTAACGTACAATTCTCCACACAAACCCTAATTCTCTCCTCTGATTTCAGTTCCCCTCCGACGCCGATCATGGATCCTTCTCACAACCCCGATTCTCCGCCGAGTTTCTCCACCGCCGATTCCTCTACTATTTGGACCAACGCACTCCCCTCCGCCGATTCTTTTTACTTCTTTCCCGCCGATAGAGATTCCGCTGTCCTCACTGAATTCGGCTGGAATTTCCTCTCCCAAGATGCTCAACCTACTCGATTCCTCGACGACAAGCCTGATTTGCCTGGAACCTCCGAGCCGGCCGTCGATGAAACCGGCGGATTACAGAGTCCTGATGCTCCTGTTCCAGTCGCGTCGATTCCTTCAATGTCTTCCAGTTCCAGCGGAGAACCGCCGGAGAAACTGCCTGAGATTCCGTGAGTTCTGATCGATTAACAGTATCTTCATTACTTCATCATCGTTGTTTTCGTTCTGCAACTTTAATGCGTGATTAACTTCTGCTTTCTCTCTCTTTGCCCTAAAATAAATTAAAATCGCAGATTTTTCGAATTTTAGTGTAAAGTTAATCGGAATAACCGTTTTCGAATAATTTCATGCGGTTTTGGTTTCTGCTAATTTGCTGTATTTTGGTTTCGATTCGAAAAGAGCACACGAAATTAGGCGAGAGTGCAAGTACTCGTTGCTTGAAACCCCATCCTGCAAGTTGGGGAGGTAGTTTCGTAAATTCGATAAAAGCAGGGGCTATTGAATGTGAATACATTAAAATATAGGGACCGTTTTGCAGTTTTTAGAAACTAGTCCTCCAATATCGCCGTTATTGCGGCGGGAATGCCATTCTCCTTCTCTCTAATTCTTTTTTTACGCTTCGTTAAATCTGTTAAATAAAAAAATAAGAAATATCTTTTTTTATTATTATTATTATTTTTTTAGTGCATGTACTTACCATGGATGATTTGATAATACTTAAATAAAAACATTTTATTTTAATTTTTCTTTCTTTCTGGTCCATCTGGGTCTGTCGTTACCTAATTCTTTGTTGGTTCTTTGAAATGATGGATCGTTTGCTCTTCTCTAATTACATCATAATCAACGAGTTAATGGTTTTTGCTTTCTGCTTAATGAAATGCACCTTGTTTTCCCCTTTTCCAATTTTTTTATTAGGTTCTTTTAAGGCATGTAAATTCGAACATTTGGCTTTCGAATCGAGATTATCGTGATACCTCGTGTTTCGAATTATACGAAATTTATAATTCGAACGTTTGAGTATTCGAGTTTAGTTTTAAATATTACATTGATGATGGGAATACTGTGTTTTAGAACAGAATTGGTTTGATTTTCAAGAATTTGCTTTTACTTCACAAATGTAGGTGAAATATTTTGTAGGCAGAAGGTCAAAAAGAAGGGGCAAAAGCGAATACGGCAGCCACGATTTGCATTCATGACTAAAAGCGAAGTTGATCATCTTGAAGACGGCTACCGGTGGAGGAAATATGGCCAAAAGGCTGTCAAGTACAGTCCATTTCCTAGGTAGGTAATCTATATGATCCTACTTCTGATTATATATATATATTGACATCTATTTTCTACTTATTTTGTTCTATACGTAAATTCACATTTCTAGAAAAAAAAAAATAATCAATGATTATGTTATGGTAACTTTAACTATAACTTTTGGATCCACGAGTTGTAACTTGAGGTTGAATGATATTATCTTAATCAACTGAGAATGTGGGACGAAGATTAAAAAGCTTAATTTTATGTGTTGTATTCATATATAACAAAGAAAAGTACGGTCTTTGTTAGATTAAACTATCACAAATTGATTGCTATTTTTATTAACCGTGAACAAAATGATTATATATAAGTTGTCTTAACTTGGGTTTTGTTTTCTAATTTTTTTTTTTTTTTATGTTTAATAAATTATTAAAATTTCAATTTTTTTTAATGTGTAATTTTAAGAGTTGATAGACACATATTTAGTCTAATAATGTTCCATAACAAAGGGTATAATTATTTCAGGAGTTACTATAGATGCACGAACAGCAAATGCACAGTGAAGAAAAGGGTAGAACGGTCATCTGAAGATCCAAGCGTTGTGATAACAACATATGAAGGGCAACACTGTCATCACACCGTTGGATTCCCTCGAGGTGGACTTAACATGGCGCACAAAGCTGCTTTTGGGTCTCAATTTTCATCTCAAGGCGCACAGATTTATTACCCTGAAACTCAGCCGCCGCCCAGAAACAATAATAATAATGACACTCCCACTGCCCGTGACCACCACTCACAGCACTTGCCCACTGCAGCAGCATCGTCATCATCCAATGCGTTGTCGCTGGAGCAACAAGAACCAACAAACTCACAGCCTCAAGTTGCTTCGGACGAGGGCTTGCTAGGCGATATTGTGCCGCCCGGCATGATGCGTAGAACATGACCCACTACTACTCATCAACACACCAATTGTGGTATAAACTCCTCCACTTATCTCTTCTCTATACATAAAATTATTTTTTTGATTGTCATGTTGTGGTTGATAATTTTACACCGTTGGATATAGAATTAGAAGAGAAACAAAAATAATCATAGTTTCATCACATATCTACCGGTTTAAAAGAACAACCAGAGTGTGACCATCACATTGAATAATATTTCATGTCTAGGGGGAAGATAGGGTCTTTTTGTACGTAATTGGCCCAAAAAGCCAAATGGGGGATGGTTATATACATGTATGGTCGTTTTTATGCATGCTTGAATTTGTACATACCAAAAAGTGTGTCCGTTATGTCGCCTATATTTTCATTCAACTCATTGGGGAGCCTACCATGTATGGATGGATTGTAAGTGAATTAAACGTGTTTAATTGCCATTGTTTATGATGAAAGTTGGGTTGGTGGTTAAAGGGTTTGTTTCATGAATTTTAGTTAGGTGGGGTTCAAAATTTTTGTAAATTATTATTATAACACATTTTCAATGTTCTTTTACTAAATAAAACCTGGCTCTAACTGATTAGGATCGTTTTTCAAGGAAATTATCTATTTCTTATCAATACAGAAATAAAATGAAACCTTTATGCATGTAGCTTTGGAAGTGGATCGGTTAAACGTTTACTATTGTGTCGTGCTACTAGAAGTTTTGATGTATGATTGTGGTGGTGAAATCTTTATGCATGCCGTTTATCACTAGTTTATACATACTTTGTTCTTTTTTTGAGGGTCGTGATCTCTATTTATTGCCCTAAAGTAATAGTTTTCGATCTCGATCTTCTATTAAAATGTCATCTTAACTAGTTGAGCTGTTGTTTAGGGGTGAGATGGGTTTAAAGATAAACTGGTAGCTGCTGTTCCAGTTGTATCCATGCAATTGGAACTGCAAATTGATATTACTGAACAGTGAAACAAAGTTTGACAGTGTGGTAAAAATAAAAAAGGGAAACAAAGTGAGTGGTAGTCAGTAATTTCCTTTAAGAAAAGTCATAAAAAGAACAAAAAAGAAGGCAGATTTTTAACAAGGCTTTTGTTTTGGTGCCTGAAACTGAATGCGGATATGGAAGCTGGAAATAGAAACCCCTAAAAGCTGCTGCCTTCTGCATGCAACCCCTAAAGCTGCTGACATGATTTAATCTTATTTAAAATTATAAATATGTTTCCAAAATATTATTTATATTGAAATGCTTTATTTATTTATTTATATGTTATTTTAGTTGGATTTAAATGTTGCTTTAATAAAGGATATGAAATAACATAAATAAAAATAATTGTTGGAAATTAAAGTAAACTTTATATTTCAAAAGAAAAGCTGTCTTGAAAAGTATTCTCCATGGGATGACCGTCTTTAATGTCTCAATTAGGTTAAACTTAGCCTATGCATGCTCATTTAAATAACTACATTAGTGATCGTTTTCGGTTCGAACACTTACTCTTGTTTAATAACTTCTCGATGCACCTCTGTATCAATTGCTTCTAGTTGGGTTGATGGACAATTTCGAGATTTGAGATTTTAAAGGTTGAGATGATAGGAAGAGTTGCAAGACATAAGATTGTCATTGGGTTCATAAAGCCTATGAGATCGCCCTCGAGCAAAATTGAGAGGAATAAAAGGAAAATTGAACCGAAAAAGAGGAAGCCACGTAGAGCAGGAGGAAAAAAAAAAGACGTCAAGAAAAAATATTTGTTAATAGCATTGGATGATGAAAATCTCACCTTGACTAATTTAAGAAATGATTATGAGTTTATAATCAAATAATACTCTCTTGTTACGAGTCATTTTGGAAAGCACAAAGCAACAGGAATTTTTATTTTTATTTTTTTATTTTTTATTTTGAGAAATGTAAGAAAAAAAAAATCCTTATAATATATATGTATCCTTTATAAAATAAGAAAAAAAGAACTCGTTCGAGAGGCGGAAAAAAGTTATGAAAGGAAAAATAAATCCTCCGCCGACGGCGGCGAAAGGTGCTCATCCGTTTAGGTTGTAGTTGGCGAACGGCGGAGCAATAGAAGAAGAAGAAGAAGGGATTGTGCAAAATGGGGCTCTATATGCCCTTGTTTAAGTGCAGCACCACCTTGAGAACGCTCACTCAACTCCATGCCCACCTCCTCGTTACTGCCCTTCATAAAGACGCACTTGCTTCCACAAAGCTCATCGAATCATATTCCCAAATGGGCGATCTTCAAGCTTCAAAATCCATCTTCCGCACCTTCCACTCTCCCGATTCCTTCATGTGGGGTATGCTTCTTAAATCCCATGTCTGGAGCGGCTCTTACGAGGGAGCCATTAATCTCTATCACCAAATGTTCTGCCAACAAATTCAGTTCAATGCCTACACATTCCCGTCCGTTTTGAGAGCTTGTTCTGGGTTTGGCGATCTGAGTGTTGGCGAAAGGGTTCATGGAAGGGTTATAAAATCTGGGTTTGATATGGATCCTGTTGTGGAAACCTCGTTGCTTAGTATGTACGGGGAGTTGGGGTACTTAGACAGTGCTTGCAAGGTGTTTGATGAAATGCCACTGAGAGATTTGGTGTCTTGGAGTTCCATTATTTCGTGTAATGTTGGGAATGGAAAGATAATTGAAGGTTTGGATACTTTTCGTTGTATGGTTTCTGAAGGTGTGGCACCGGATTCTGTTTTGATACTCACTGTGGCTGAGGCTTGTGGTGAATTGGAAGTTTTGAGGCTGGCGAAGTCTGTTCATGGCTATATCTTGAGAATGGGAATTGAAAGTGATAGGTCTTTTGATAGTTCGTTGATTTTTATGTATGCTAAATGTGGTAGCTTACACAGTGCAGAGATTTTATTTGAGAATGTTACTCACCATTGCACTTCTACTTGGACTGCAATGATCTCCAGCTATAACCAAGGTGGTTACTTCCAGGAAGCATTAGCTGTGTTCGCTTCGATGCGAAACACTGATGTTGAACCAAATTCTGTGACTATGATGGTTATTCTACGTTCTTGTACTAATTTGGGTCTTCTGAGAGAAGGGAAATCTGTTCATTGTGTTGTCATAAAGAACGAATTAGACACTAACCTTGATTGTCTAGGACCGACTTTGCTCGAACTGTACGCCGGGGCTGCAAAACACGATCACTGTGAGAAGATACTTCATGAGGTTGGAGGGAGAGGAATTGTCGTTTGGAATACGCTCATTTCGGTTTATGCTCAAAAGGGGTTGTTGAAGGAGGCACTTGTTCTCTTTGTGAGGATGCAGAAACAAGGGCTTATGCCCGACTCGTTCAGCCTGGCGAGCTCTCTTTCTGCTTCTGGAAATGAAGGTATGTTTCAACTGGGACTGCAAATACATGGTCATGTTATCAAGAGACCTTTCATGGATGAATATGTTCTGAATGCACTAATAGATATGTACTCAAAATGTGGCTTTGTAGATTTAGCATACATGATATTTGATAAGATGGAACCAAAAGGTGTTGTGACATGGAATTCTATGATCTGTGGGTTATCTCAGAATGGTTACTCGACTAAAGCTATCAGTTTATTTGATCTAATGTATTTGACTTGTCTCGAGATAGGGGACGTTGCCTTCGTTGGTGTGATTCAAGCCTGCACCCATTTGGGTTTTCTAGAGAAAGGGAAATGGATCCACCACAAGGTTATCACCTTTGGTGTTAGAAAAGATCTTTATATTGAAACAGCTCTAGTTGACATGTATGCAAAGTGTGGAGACCTCCAAACGGCGAGGCGAGTTTTCGACAATATGTCGGAGAGGAGCCTAGTGTCATGGAGCACTCTTCTTTCCAGCTATGGTGTGCATGGTCAGATTAGTGAGGTTATCTTCCTCTTTTCGAAAATGCTTGAATCAGGAATTAAGCCTAATGATGTTATTGTCATGAATGTTCTTTCAGCTTGTAGTCATGCTGGTTGTGTAAAAGAAGGGATGCTCTTCTTCAGCTCCGTTCGGGATTTTGGAATTGAGCCCAAAATCGAACACTTTGCTTGCATAGTCGATCTTCTTAGTCGTGCAGGTGACCTTGATGGAGCATACAAAATAATCAAATCAATGCCATTTCCAGCAGGTGCTAGCATCTGGGGTTCTCTGCTAAATGGTTGCCGAATCCACCAGAGATTGGACATAGCTAAGAACATCCGAAGCGAACTGTTGAACATTCAAACAGATGATACTGGATATTATACATTGTTATCAAATATATACGCAGAAGGGGGAGAATGGAACGAGTTTCGGAAAGTTAGGTCGATGATGAAGTGTACAGGGCTGAAAAAGGTTCCTGCATACAGTGTACTTCAGCTTGGTAAGAAAGCTTACAGATTTGGAGCTGGAGATGCCTCTCACTCTCAAACAAAGGATACGCATAGATATATAGATAACTTTCAGAGATTTTCTCAGGAAGAAGTTAATAATGTACAGCCACATTGTTCATTGCATGATACGAGTTCTTATTCAGAATACAACTATTCATCATCTTATTCTATAGTTTAGACACCTTCATTGTTCTTATTCCTCGACTCCCCGGGTTTCCGAGCATAATCAATCTCAAAAGAGTACAAACCTTGAGATTCAATGGAATAATGGCTTATTCCAAGCCGTTCTATCGTGTCGGCAAGGTAGATAAGTTTATCAGGTCCCTACTGATACCATCTGTGGAGGGTATTCTTTCCTGGGTTTCCAAGCATAATGAATCTCAAAAGAGTACAAACCTTGAGATTCAATGGAATAATGGCTTATTCCAAGCCGTTCTATCGTGTCGACAAGGTAGATAAGTTTATCAGGTCCCTACTGATACCATCTGTGGAGGGTATTCTTTCCTGAAGATCATCAACATCTTCCCCCAAAGAACAAATCAATGATGCAAAGGTAAATCGACCTTCCGTTTACAGTTTGCAGTAACTCGAGCATATCTCAATATATCTAATATTTTCTTAAAAAAATGAAAAAAGAAACCCAGCTAGGTATGGAAGATTCTAACACCAGTAAATCCATCAGTGTAATCTAAGAGAGAGATATACATTGGCAAAACTATCCACTTATCTTATGATATGGTATAGAGTTGTCAAACAGCAGAGATAAACATGTGAGGTCAAGGATTTAAGCTGAAAATGTACAATGGGGAATTTGACAGTCCATTCAAGAAATTGATGACTCTCAACACTATCTCTAAACTAAAGCAATAGCTGCAAGATTACCAGCCTGGACTCTTTGTCGGCGGGGCCGTCGAGTTGTCTTCCCCCATCCTGTCAGGCTCCTTTTGTCTAGTCCTATCTCAGAGTTACTAGGCTGAGGCAGCAGTGGAAGATTCTCAGTTGACTGTGGGGAGGGGCTGATCACTGATCGCCGCCTTCCCCTGCCAGAGGCAGCGTTTCTCAACGAGTTCCTCTTGGTCAACCCTGGAGTCCACACATGACCCATTGCTTTCATTACCCCTCCAAATGTATTAAGATCTTCTGTAACTTCTTGTCTTGATAGAGAAGCAAGGCCAGGAAGAATGTCCCTTTGGAAGTCCCTCCGTTGCCTGCCTCTTCTAGACTGGCCTCTTTGAGGACGGTTTTGCAGCAAATTAGCTGTGTCTTCTTCTATTGTTATATGTCCCGGAACCGAGGACGATTTAGGCAAATATTCTTCTGCCTTGGTTTCTATCAGTTCCAATGTCATGGACTCAAAGGTGTCCATCCCTTCTAAAGAAGATTCCACCGCTTGAGACTCGCTTTCATAACCATTTGAACATAAGAAAGCCATCTCCACCAAACAATTAAGGGGATTGTGCGGAGAATCTTGTGCTGCACTGCAAGTTGCATCCTCCAAGTAGATGTGACCAACAGCTGAGGAAATGGAAACCATTGCCTCTGCTGCTATCTCTATGAGCACATCTTCTTGGTTTATGGCTTTACAGTGAGGTTCCGAAGCTAACTCATGCTCTGCTTCTATAATTTCTTCAGCAGGAACAGTATCCTCAGTCTCGGAAATCACAGGGGCTTCCAAATCTATCTCTCCCCGCATTCTGACAGTCGATTTTGGCGTTGGTCTCGAAGATTCTTCATCTTCACTTATACTCAAGTTTAAATCAATAAGTCCAAAACTGGAAACTTTTGCTTCATTCAGTTTCTCCGTGGGCTCATTTTCTGATTCAGCAACCGAAGGATCACAAGGCAAGTTGATATCAAGAACTCTACATTCCCTGCTTTCTTTGGTTTCACATGGGACCGAGGGTCGAGCGAGAGAACACATTGCTTTCTTGGGATCCTGCAATTCCTCAGATGTTGATCTTATAAGTAGTTTTCGATTCTTAGCAGACCTGTCCGATTCAAACTCTTCGTTGAAAATGTCATTACGAAATGAATGAGAATTTTTATTAGTAGTTTCAGTGCTTCCACCAGTTGTACCACTGAGCCAAGGTAACAATGCACAATTTTCCCCAACCGCCAGTCCTGCTTGACCAGATGAATTATTTGGAAACACCATGTTAAAACCTCTCTCTTTTGGACCCTTCATGTTCATATAATTAGAATCCTTGAGGAGTTTCAATGACATGGAAGGACTTAAGTCTTTGGGAGCTTCATTGTTACCATTACCCTGCATCCGATAGCTATAACCGACAGAAGAGGAGCGGCCTACTTCTTCCTTGTACTCAGATGAAAACCCAAGAAAGACCCTGTTATAGTACAATAATTCGCTATCAGAACCTTTATTGAGTTCGGAACCACTACTAAGAAGCCATCTTTCTCCAGAACTCTCCACGCCATGAAACGGGGAATGAAAATTCCTCTGCAGACATTGCTGAGCTTGTGCAGTTGAATAGGAGTTAGACCAGGACTTGCTAAGATCAGGAGCATTTGGACGTGGAGCGGATGCACGAGAAGTGACGAAGGAACACGGTGGTTCACCCTTAATCTCAGGGCATCTTTTGGTAAACTGCAAACCAAAGACCTGCCCCTCCCTTGACTGATCTGTCCTACCTTTATCTGTTGAATGAAGAGGTGGAGCTTCATGAACTTTACTGAGTAAACTTTCCATAGGCTGAGAAGAAACAGGCCATGAACTTTTCCTCTGCAAATTTTTAAGGCCTGAATTTGGCCCTGAAGATGGATTGGGACATAGAATCTCCCCATGACAAGAAGCAGAACCTAGTGGATCAACATAAGTTGAAGCATTGGTTTCTACAAGTTGAATGGGTTCGTTTAAGTCGGTGACATCCCTCTCAATATCAATCTTTTGATCCTCGTTGTGATTGTGACTTAATATGTCAGGCACATTTCCATCATGGAATTGTTCCCCATCTTCACTATCGATGTACTCCTCGGCAGGAAGCTGAAGATCTAACAGTTTTCTTCCAAACTTTGTCGGTCTGGACTCGAGAACCTGCAAGTTCTTCACTGTACTTCCATTTTGTGATGGAAAGAAACAAGGACTCTGGCTATTGCCTTTTACAGAAATCAAAGAAGAATGTTCTTCTTCAATGCCTGAAATAGAAAACCTGGTACTAGACGAATTCGCAACAGGAAAACATGGCAGATTTCGTCTCGAAGTAACTTTAGACGTCAAGGGGCTCGAGAAGAGCAATGAATCTACAGCTAAACAGTTTCTGCCGAGTTCTGTGGATTTGATTTTATTCATTAAATCTCTTTGTTTTCTATACAGGCGGTGTAGTTCGAACACCTGAAGTTTGACAGAAGACATAATATCCGGGTTAGAGCTAGACCCCGATGAGTTCATGAACCAAACTGCAAGATCAGATATAAATAGAAACGTACCTGATTTTTGAAAACGGCCTCATGTTCAAGCATTTTTTGCTTCACTACATTTTTATCATCGCCTCTATATCCATTTGCGCAAGCCATTGGCGAGATGACCTCGTGATATTGTGCAGTTAAGAAGGATCTTTCACCATAAAATAGGTGCCAGTTATGACTGTTAGAATCATTGTTAAGATCCCTCATTGGGTAAAATCCTGGCAAGGAACTCTTGCACTGCACTTTAGTCCCCATTCCTGAAAATCATAGACATATTGAATTCAAAGGCATTGAACGAAGACCGGTCTATAGTTTTCTAATGCAAAGTCGATAGGCACAAAAACAAAAACAATGGAGCTCATGTCACTAGCCCAAGTCCACTGCTAGCCGATATCGTTCTCTTTGGGATTCTCCTTTTGAGCTTCCCCTCAAGGTTTTTAAAACGTGTCTATTAGGAAGAGGTTTTCACATACTTATAAGGAATCCTCCGTTCTCCTCTCCAACCGATGTGAGATCTCACACACAGAAAACTAGTCCCAATAAGAAAGCAGTTGAGGAGAGTAGACTTCATCAAACACACCCGAATCCACAATCATTGGGTTCAAAGATCCACTCTAAAGTGATTTACAAGAAAAGATTTCATCACAATTCACTCACTTGAACCTCGGCTCAAAAGAAAGTAACAATATCAGCACTATAACCTGTGAGCTCTGGAAACTCAAATGAACACTTGAAGATGAACTCCAAAGAACACCTCCTTGAACTGATCAGAAGTTTAAAAGAAAAGACCGTTCGATTTAGCAGAAAATGGACAAAACCAGACCAATCTGATGGGATGCATATTTGAAAATGGGAGGTGAAGAACAGGAATTCTGAGATTCCCAGGAAGTCCCCACCACTCTCATGGAGGTCGATGCTTTCGACTCCCCGGCACAAGCCTGAACCTCCGAAGACAGCGGAGCTCTCAGCTCCACTGAGTTGTTTAGGTTCTGAAATTCCATCTGAGAGGGTTTCAGTTCGAAGGTTAAAAAATATATATGGTGCGGATTAATCTCTCTCGACCAGTTCAGGGGAAAGAAGGAGAGGAAGCAAACGTAAAGAGATGTATGAGCTTTGTGTTTTCACAAGTCTACTCTGAGTAACAAGACAAATATTGAAGTCTACAAAAGTCAATCCAACGGAGCAAACCAAATATTAGCAATCAGAATCCAAGAATTCAGTGCAAAAGCAAATGCATGATGAAGCCAACAAGCACCCAACAGTTTTCAGAGCTAAACCACAAAACAGAACCAATCAAACGATCAGAACACAAGAACCCATCGATTAAATCAGCAGGTGAAAGAAGAGAACAAAATTACCTCAATCGAACATTCCTTGAAGAATCTGCTTCGGATTGAACAATCAACGAAAACCCAGAATCTCATCGCACTCCCTCCATCAAAGACAAAGGGAAGTGAAAAACAAAAGCAACGCATATCCAGAACGATAGGAAACAGAAGAAGAAGAAGGCCATGAAAAAGGGAGGGTTTAGATCGTCATGGAGTTGAAGAAAAACAGCAGAGATTTCGATCTACTGGGCCAATCTCTCTCTGGGAAACGAGACAGTAAAGGTTCAGAGATGAAAGATAGAAAGCCCTGTTTTAGAGAGAGATTGTAGATAAGAAATCTCCATAAAATACAAACAAAATCGAAGTGCTAAGGAAGTGACCTGAAATTTGTCAACATCAGAGTCTCACGATTTGAACTGGTTTCCCTCATCATCAAAAGAGAAACGAAATGAGGGCTTCCTTCCTTCCTTCCTTTTCTTCCCTAAAGGTAAATTAATCTAATCTTAATCTTAATCTTAATCTTAATCTTAATCTTAATCTTAATCTAATCTCTACCCTTAATCAAAATGGTTGAGAAACAGAATTTGGTGTGGGTCCGTTGTAGGGTACTGCGGAAAGAACGAGGAATAGGAAGAAGGAGAAGAAGGGAAGGGAAATGCCCTTGTGGGTAATTGAAAATTACAGAAATGGGAAGCATTTTTTGATGTGGGGATTGGTTGATTCTATGTCAGCCATGGCAGTGAAACTCCATTGGTGACTCTCAACCCTTTCTCTTTTCCTCCACCTTTGATGCTCTCCAATCTTATCTTCCACAAAAAATAAATAATATTTTTTTTTTGTCTTTACGAGGAACTTTAAATTTTAGCTGAATTTCATCTCAATTTCTTTTTCAAACTAAATAAAGTACAAACATCTTCCCATACAATTTTTTTTTTTAGTTTGCTTAAATAATATTTGGATTAGATATATGGGATTATGGAGGGGAATCTTTTGCCTTCCACCTTTGTCTCATTCAAATACTTGCAATTGTTTGGGTCAAAGCTGTTACATTTTGAAGTAGTGCATTATTTTGTATGTGGGTGTGATCTAGACCGTAAAAATGTGAATAGTTACGCTAACTTGATTGCTTCCCAAATTTTTACAAAAATTTAGGTTGACGTGCTATTGATTAGAAACCATTGGATGTGGTGACATGATGAAGCAGTGTAAGTCTTTCGTTAATGGGTGTGGTCTAGACCATAAATGTGAAATGTCACGAACTAATTATGGAGTTGTGTGGATATGAACACACATATCCTTTTGTGAACGAGACCTGACTCTTCGAGAACGAGAGACGGCTCATTCCACGTGCATTCTACGAGTTTCTTCCTCGCATGTAAATAAGAGAATAAGGTATTATTACCGTTATAAGCACAAAATTTGATGAGAAATTATACTTATATTAAATTAATTTTTTTAAAAAATAAAGGTAGCGAGGGAGTATTAATGTGTGGGAATTTCACAAATAATTTCTAAAATTTTTATTTTATAAAATGAACAATTAAATCGGATTTTAAAAATTTATAAAAATAATTGAAAATGGTGATGTTTTGTACCGACCAGAAAGTGGGGCCCGGGTTTTTGCATTGTCTTGTCGCTGTCATGGACAACGAGTGTGACCATTTCCAAAGTCGAAGATTTTCTTAAACTACATGCTAAGGGCCCCACCTCTGACTCATGTCCAATTTGCCTAAATTAAAAATTATCTATAAATTTTGTTATTTATATATATATATATATATATGTGTGTGTGTGTTTATAAAAGTTAAAATATTCTTGTTGACTTTTTTTTTTTTTTTTTTTTTTTTTTTTTTTTTTTTTTTTTTTTTTTTTTTTTTTTTTTTTTTTTTTTTTTTTTTTTTTT